AGATCAAACCACCTGTTGTTTCAGTTCCTGGTAAAAAAAAGAAGAAAAAAAAGACAAAAACATTCAAGAAAAAAAAAAAAAGGTTGGATCGCAGATAGAGGGAGTTTTAGGTGCTTTCCAAAAACCTGGACAAGAAAGTACCGTAAGAGCTTTTTTGTTTAGGCTGTTCTTTATGCGGCTAATCGGTACTTTCAGAGTGCTACAGAATAATCCTCCTGATCTTACAGAACTTTGTTCAGGTTCACACAGAAAAGTGAAAAGGAGAAACAGCTCATGCTTGTGCACATAGTCTCTGCATTTCCCAAAGCAAAAACTCCAAGTGTTTAAATGTAGCATTATAGTGGCAGTTTTCTATTTTGGATTGTCTGCTTTGCTAACATGTCCCACTGGGGCCCACGGTTCAGGGTCGAAAAACAGCAATGATTAAATTAAAAGGAAAAAAAAACAAATCAAAGTCTGCCCTTTTTCCCCTCTCTGGTTAATAAGTGACATTTGTAGCCCCGACTGAACTGCCTAAGTTCTGTCTGTTAAATCTTGCAGCAAAATGTGTGGCCAACATGCAGTGCATGTGTATATTGTTCTTCATACAGCTTTACCCAACAATAACCGAGGCACAGATTTATGACCAATTATCAGAAGAACGTTGGTTTCATTTCTGAGATGAACTGAACTGATTTTTGTTTGCAAAAACTTTAGGCAGTAAAGTGGAAACAAAAACACAAGAATTCTCAAAGAGTATCAATTCATCTATTTGCATCCATATTAGAAATAAAAAATAATAATAACATTCACATCTTAGTGAAATAGCATTTCACAGAGATCAGTACAAATATTATTACACAGATCAAATCACTATCCTGACAGCTGAAGTCCTTTAGCTTGTTGTTATTATTTGCTTTAAATGAAAAAATATTACATAAAATCAACTTTATTTTAGCTTTACATCAGTTTATGATGTCATTCACTCATCAAAAACATGTACCTGGAGTGTTGCCTTGATTCTTTCATTTGTGTTTGAGAAATCCTTTGATCTCCATGGCAACCACTGAGCTGTGCAAAACGCCTGGCTGGACCGAGCTCCGCCTTTGAGGCGCAGCTCCTCCCTGGAGCTGCATTTTCCAAGCTTCAGAGCTGTTAGCAGCAATTAGCAAACATCTGGTATAACTGCACATCTGCTGAGCTCATTACATGAGCTACTGCTTAGTGAAACCACGGAAAAATGTTGTTAAAGGGTTAATAAAGCGATTGTTGTGATGACTTCCTGAAGGCAGAGTTTCAGAAAGAGCAGGAGTTTTTAAAGAGACAGAGACCCAATTTTGATGTGTTAAATTACGAAGTCAAATTTCTTTGAAGTCACATTTGATGTATACAGCATTTTTATAATAACTGAAGGTAGCAGAGTCACTTGATTGCGCTATAAAATGATTCTATGTGGATGAAAAAAACATAATACTGTCACTTTAAGCTACCAAATTTACACAGGTCATCAGCAGCCTATGTCTGGTCGCCCCTTCCAACAAAGTGACAGAAAACCTCCAGCTTAGGTAACGACACTGTTGTACAACGTCATCCACCACATGCATTAAGCTGTTACAGAATCAGAGAGCTCCTTCAGTGACAGATCCCTTCATCTGAGATGCACAAAGGAACATTACTGCAGCTGTTAAACTGCAAAACCACTAGATTTCATTCCTAACAGTCAACACATGTTTACATCCCTGCTGTTATTTGAAATTAAGAAAAGCTGAACAAATAACATTCCAGCTTAATTTGGCACATCTCTGTTGCATGAACTTTGCCCCCCCCCCCACTTCTTGTAAATGGTGAACAAATATGCATAACCATTTTGGACAGTTTTTAAATGATCCTACTCAGTTGCACATGTTTAAAATAAATAAAAACAACATTGTAGTATTTTTATGTTCCAAGTTTGGCCTTACCGAACCGAGTGTTATTCTTGCTTTCTGTTTCTATATTTTTATCTTCATGTGGATCTACATGCTTAGTGGATGTAGATCCACATTTTGCTGCCGGTATGCCTGAATTTCTCCACTAGTGGACAATAAACTTGCATTCAGTATTTGGTACTTGACCTGCACACAAAAATTTTGACAGATTGCTTTGAAGAGTACATTTGATTAGAATCCATTTAAGGCTGGTTTTACACTGACTAGCTACATTTGGTGCATTTTCTTCCATAGTAATGGATGTAACATGAGACAAAAACACAGCTCTCTGTCAGCGTCAAGGCACAAACGGACCAAGTGAATGCTCAGCTTCCTCAAACAACAAGGGAGGCTCCAGAACTGTCGCACAAGTCAGGATGTATAAGAGCTACATCAGTGGGAAATGTGTGTCTAAACTGCAGAAGTTAGGATTTTAAAAAAATATTTTAAAAAACATCTGATATCTGCTGTTTAAACTCATTTTATTGAGATGCCAGAGGGTTTTATTTTCAGCTTATAAAGCACACAGGACCTACACGTCAGCACAGCATTACAGGTCAGGGAAGGCCCTGATAAGAGTTGTAACTCATTAAAATCTGTGTTTTAAAAGAACATAAGTGATGTTGAAATCTCCAATTCCATGCTCTATGAGATAGAGAGATGAACCTGAACTGTACTCATATGAGATCAGGTGTGTCGAACTCATTTTCATTTTGGGCCACATCAAAAATATGAATGTTCTTAAAGAGACATTCTTTGAGAACATCCAACATCAGTGTGTTAAAATTTCTTCAAATTTTAAGACAAGGCAAGGCAACTTTATTTATATAGTACCTTTCAGCCGGAGACAATTCAAAGTGCTCTTACAATAAATGTTAAAAACAACATGCAACAAGAGAGGGGGAAAAAATTAGACAAAGATTAAAATTAGACAAAGTAAACATCAGAATTCCAAATATAGTGAATCAATAGAATTAAGAAAAAAATAAAGAATTTAAGAGTAGGCAACTTCAAACAAAAAGGTTTTTAACTTTGTTTTAAATAAACTCAAGGTAGGGGGCAGAATTACAGCGAGCAGGAAGCTTATTCCAGAGAGCTGGAGCATAAAAACTAAAAGCTGTTTCACCACGTTTAGATCTGACTCTCAGAATAATTAGTAGGTTTAACTCTGATGATCTTAAAGGTCTGAGTGGTATATAGGGCTGAAGAAGATCAGAGATATAGTCTGGGTTTTTAAAGCTTTATAAACCATTAAGGAGATTTTAAATTCTATTCTTTGAGCAACTGGCCAGTGCAGGGATCTTAAAGCTGGACTGATATGCTGATCTCTTTTTGTTTTAGTCAGGACTCTTGCAGCAGCATTCTGGAGAAGCTGGAGCTGTCTTGTTGCTTTTTTATTTTTGATAATCCAGTGAAAATGGCATTGCAGTAATCGAGTCTACTGAAAACAAAGACATGAACTAGTTTTTCGGAGTCTTGTGGGGACAAGTCGTCTAATTTTAGCAGTATTTTTTAGATGATAATATGCTATTTTTATGATAGATTTGATGTGGTTATCAAAATTTAGATCAGGATCCAGGATCACCCCCAAATTCTTGGCTTTGTCAGAGCATTTTAAACCAATAGATTGGAGGTGGGTGATCAGTTTTAACATATGCTCTTTTGGTCCAAACACAAATTTGAAGAAAAAATGTGTGTTGAAAATCAGATAAAAAGTGTGGAATTCTGTAGATTTTGTGTGAATTATATGTGAACTTTTGAGTGAGTTTTGTACATTTTTTTGAAAAACTGGAGGGACTTATTGATGTAATTTTGGGCCACGTAAAAAGCTACTGTGGGCCATATTTGGCCTCTGAGCCTTGAGTTTGACACATGTGTTTTAGATATTGTAATTTTGACCAAGTTGTATTGAAGACATTGTTTTATGTTTCTTTCTGATCATTTTTGGTTTTTCCTGTTATTCTTCATTTTCCATTTAAAGTAACTCTTAAAGGTCATTCAAGGTTTAGTAGGCCTGTCACAATAACACATTTTTCTGAATGATTATTGCGATAAATGATAATATTGTTCTTTTGAGACCATTTTCAAGTAATATAATGTTAATGGCTTAGTAATGCAACAACTCATTCTCAAAGATCAATAAACTGTAAATTCTAATAATATTTAGCACTGGAAGTGGGAGACTCTTTCAATACCTAAGATAAAAAAGTAACACAAAGTGTGATTAATTATGAGATGTCTGTGAACAAAATTATTCTTCAAAAAAAAAGGGACAGTTGAGACCAGAGAACCAAACTGAAGACTTTTGTCATCCAGTTTTTGGCGGAAAGAGAGAAAAAAAGGGGGAAAAAATAAATTACACAAATGGAAATGGTTGAGTTTGTTTTAATTTATCACGCGATTAATTGATTAATTGCTTACTGCATCAGGCCTCGGTGCAGGCATCGGATTGTTTTGAGATCATGATGCTTATTGTATCTGTCCAATAATAACAATAAAAAAAGTTCATGATTATTCACTAAATGGTCAAAGCCACGCCTCTAACATAGCCCTTGACCTCAAGCTCTGACTGCCTTCTTTCCCTTTGAGTGTGTGGGTATTTCATTCACTGCATCCCAACCCCACATGCAGACCTAGAAAATTCAAGAAATGATGCAGCGTGTATGAGAAACTTTTTTAGAAATTACAAGCATTAACACCATCTCAGAGAAATGATTGCTAAGTAGATAAGGCATAAACGAAACAAAACAAACCTGACTATCAACCTGATTGGAATGCCTGAAGGAAACTTGTGTGGGTAGGGCAAGAAAACTCGCTCTAGCCCAGGGGCCCTATCCTCCTAAATCAGGCCCTGGTGAAACCACGATGAATGCATTGAGTTTTGTCTTTGGGGATGAGCCGCTGAAAGCACCTTCTAGAAATTAGCACGAGCCCAACCAATTAGAGGCTATATGAGCGCGTGGGGGGCAGAAGAGACTGAATCACGTTCAGCCTGCGGGAAGGTGGTGGTGTAGCTGCAAGAGGAGAACCAGCGTCATGTGAAAACAAGCTCACCGTAAATCATTGCCAGCCCGGTCTCGTGAAGGAAGCGAACCCGCCTGTGCTTGAAGAGCCATATAGTGAGAATGGTGAGAGTCAGCAGCGAAATGAATGTCAGCAAATTGACGCTGTCCTGTCGGTGACTTTCCTCTGCCTCCTTCTCGGTTACAAGTTCCTCCACCATTCCGCCGTCGTCCGCCTTCAGTCCCGACACCGCGTTCAGTAAGGTCCAGACCAGCAGCAGCATCGTCCTGGTTCTCCGAGCCGCGCTGGCTGCGTTCCCGAGAGCGTTCATGGTTTAGGATGCTGCTGCTGCTGCTCAGAGTACACGCAGCCTCTGTGCCATGTCACAGCTGGAAGAACAGCGCGCGCGCGCGCGCACACGCACGCACACACACACACACACACACACACACACACACACACACACACACACACACACAGCTGAGCCGAGTGGGTACACCAAGTCGAGTGGAGACACAACCCAGCGCTCACAGACCGAAGAATTTAACCCTTAAAAGGTACACAGCGCAATGCAACGAAAAGCTCCGCTCTCACTGTGGAGAAGGAGCCCACCTGCACACCCGAACCCAACGGCAAGCTACTGAGTCACCGCTTCGAGATTTTGATGATTGTGCAATTCGGAGGTCACTCCTCTCGAAAACAGGAAATCTGAGCCGTCGCTGGACAAACGAGAAGTAGATATGCGATATCCTGTTTGGGATTGTCTGGTCTAGAGAGGGAGATGTTGGAAGAAAGAGGCGTGGCTTTCAAATACGCTGCATTAATTTGTAGTAGTTATGATGGCAGCAGATCGAAACGCATTCGGAGGAGAAATTAAACAAACAGTGGCGGTTCTTACATGATTGCTGCCCCGGGCAAAGCTCCTGCCTCTGCACCTGATGGTGCATGTGGAATATTGAGAAACAGGTGTTAAGAATATAAGATTTATTTATTTTATTTTATTTTATTTTACAAATTCAAGCTGTATTTCCCCCCAATAATATCTTAATTTTGCCTTTTAGTCCAAGTTTGACAAGTTTCTATATTGCTGTTCATCAGAATACCAAAAAAGATTACTTTTTGCATATTTATACAAAGAATAAAAACTTTGCAGTTTTTTTTTATAGAGTTTATGAACAGAGTGTAATTCAATTCAGATTTGATTGGTATTTTAGATTTTGAACTACTCGAATGCTTTTTAGTGCCTTAAAAAGCATTTGAGCAATGCTTTTTAAGGCATTACACAAATGCTTTTGAGTAATTATGGCATTCGAGTAATGCTTTTTAGGCCACCAAAAAAGTATTACTCAAAACTGAAAAAGCGATTTGAAAAGTTGTGTCTTGTTGTGTCTTGAAGAGACATATCACACAGGGCACCACTATCAAAGATGCACAACTGGTTGCTATATATATATAAATAAAAAAAACACTGCTGAAGCATTTGAATGAAGCATTTGAATTTCAACTTGATTCCTTCAGTTTATTTTCTCAGTTTTTGGCTACATTTGCTTTTCTTTCAGAGTGAGGACTCCTGTCAGTGAACAGGTTCATTAAACCCTCAGTATGAAAGGTCGCACACCTTTAAGTCACTGAAGGAACATAAACGATTTTAAAGGGTGATTGCTGTATTTTGAATTCTGTAGAAAAATAACCTGGAAAAAAATCCAAATCGCCTCATAAAACCTGTAAAAAAAAAAGTTGTCACTGGGCGGAGAAGTTGGATCTGGTGAATGTACAGCAGCATTCGGGTCATTTAGTTGCACCATTCGGGTCTTATGCAGTTGCTGATCATTTTAAACAAAGAAGTGGTGTTAACATGCAGGAAAAATGTGGCTTTTGAGTCAGAACTAGAGTGAGGCTTCAGGGCTCGTTAAGGTTTCAAGCTGTTATTGCACTGAACCCTAGGGTCATTAAAAAAAATCTGTCAATTTCCTTCATTTTTTTTTTACTGTTAAACCAGATATATTTCTAAAACCAAAAGTTCTTATATTGGGATTTTATAAGATAAACCAACGCAAAGTAGTGCATTTGCAACTGTGTGTAGCTACATACATATCAGAAGAAAAACTTTAAGAGGCTTGAGAATGAGACGGAGGTTCCCCTTCCAGCAGGAAAACAACCTAAAACATATACATATGAAATTGAAGAGCCTAGTTAAAGTACAGATGTATTCAGTCCAACAAAGATTGACCTGCTTTCCAAGGAAAAATGGGCAGATATTTCATTCTCTACTTTAGAGTCGATAAGAGAAATAGCCCACTCTTAGAGCATGTGTGCAACGGGCGGGAAATTCAGAGTTACAGGTTAATCCATCCCAAATGTTTCTATTTTCATGTTTCTTGCATTACACTCTTCACTCTGGAATACCCACGTGTGATCCCGAGAAGATGCGGACTCTAAGCCCAAATGTTAATTGTATGAATTTGAACTTGAGTCGGTCAATGTGTTATGAGCAAGGCATGTTTCATAGAAGAATGTTAGCGTAGCTGCCAATGACGGCACATAAACAATTTCCTTGTAATTCTAAGTTGTTTCTCCACCCTTAGCACATTTAGCAGTGAGTGAATGAAGTTGATTAACAACACTAAGACCCTCCTACTGGTTCTGATTGGTTGTTTTTGGCCAGAATGATGCATTACTTTAGATAGCAATAATAGTTCAGGAAGGAGATGGAGCAGATTGATTTTTTTCAATGATTATCTGTCTCATAACAAACTGTCACGACATGGTGACAGCTTTAGCAAATATGGAGAAAAAAATATTTCTGTTAGTTATGTACTGTAGCTTGAATAAAATGCTACTACATAGCATTTTTTAGAAGTCTAGATTGGTTTATGTGTATTTTGCACGTTGCCTATGACTGTTGCTCGTGGGGAGAGACATTTCAGTAATCTAAAACTAATAGAAAAAAATTAAGCAACCTACTTGCATACTGTATGCGGACTGTTGCATGTAAAATTCATGAGCAGTAAATATTGTGCTAGTATCAGTATTGAACCAAAGAAAGCAAGCCTTTAAAATTGTAACATTTTTTATGGGTCAAAAAAGACTCAAAAAATTGTAACAGCAGCTGTGCAGGGGAAGCCCAATCTAATATTTTGTCAGGGGGCCCAAAATTCCTGCGACGCCCCTGGTTCCAGCTGTCGGCAGAAGCTCAGAAGTGAAGTTAAAAGCTGAATGAAGCTTCATATCAGCAAAAGGAGTCTGAAAATAAAGAAAAAGAGCTCCGTGAAAAAGGGGAGTTTTAAAGACAGCACTCAGCCTTCAGAGAAGCAATCAACTAACTGCAGTGCATTCTGGGTAAAACTGGAGGACAAGTTTGTAGTTCCCATCTGATTGTACAATTCCAGCTCTTGGCTCAGAAGTGAGAATAAAAGCTGAGCCAAGCTTCATGTCAGAAAAACTGAGTTACAAAATAAAGAAATAAAGAAGAAAATAAAAGAACGTGATGAAAAAAGGGACTCCACAATCAAAATTCCAATTTTCAGAAGAAGAAACAAGCAATAATCCTGCATCCAATGGAAGCAAGCTGAAGAAATAAAATAAAATATGACCATCCTTCTTATCCTTTTCAAAGAGGGTAAACCAAGTAATTAAAATGTTCTGAAAATAAAATAAAATAAAATACTGACCTCTTATTTACTGGATGCCATTTTTATATTTTAGTTTATATAAACTTGCATTTTGGAACAATGCAAGAACATAAATGAACCATATATTCGTATAAAACTGTGTATGTAAAGTTCAGTCTGATTAACCATCTGCTACAACAATGAAGAGATTTGGTCAAACACAATCAGTTAATAAAAACTATTCATTAACTGATTAAGTCGTGTTTTAGTTTGTTCTTGAAAAACTAATCAGTCACGGCTGCACAGTGAACCCATTGATTCTTTACAGCAGACAGCCGCTCCCCTCTTACAGGTACTGCGTACCCCCGCTAAATCCTTTAGGGGTCCTCAGTACCCGACAGTACCCCCCTACTTTCACCCCTGACTAAAACACTTGTAAAACACGACAAAAACAATATAATAGCAGAACTAGCATGACCTAGATTAAACATCTTTCAATAATATGCAAAAAAGAAAACCATATAAACATATTTTATAAAATGGATAAATAATATTTATCGCATAGCAGAGACACCATCTCTGACCTCGTTAGTGATCCTCGTGGCTCTAAGGATTACCCATAATACATCGCTCTTTCTAAAGTGAATGCATTACAACTTTTTACCAGCAGATGGTGCAGTTTAACAGAATTTAACCTGAACCATTTTAATTAAGTTACATTTGTAACTGTGTTATTGATGGACAAGTAGAGGAACTGACTGCTCTGTTTCTACATTGATCATCAATTTCCAGCAAAACACTTTCTAAATTGTTGGAGGCTATCTTAAACACAGCCTCAGAGAGCTTATAACAGGACAAATTGACGGAACTCTCACATATATAATATTCAGTTGATTGGTTTGGATCAAACAGATCCAACTGACCGATGAACCAGCGCAGTTTTCTATGCAGAAGCAACCAGGAAGAATTTATGAGGCACTGTGCGTTCAGACCCAGGGCAGGCCCAAGCCTCCAGGTGGCCCTAAGCGAAATTTGGTTTTGGGGCCCTCTAGTTCTGCTAACAATGTGGACTGGCAGCAATCAGCAGTCTGATCATTAGATCATTCACACACCTTCTATAAACTTATTGCATCTCTGATAGAGCTGTTTACATTATATATAGAATACATTTATTGGCTGGAGGCGCTCCTGCAGACGGCCGCAATCCAGAGCTCGATAGAGCATCTGGTCATGTCCTTTGGCCTCATTAACAGAAGTCAGAGGGCAAAGGTGCTGCAGGGTCAAGCTGGCACTGTTTTTTTATTATTTATTTTTTTATTTCAGGCTGATCCTAGTAGAAAATCTCAGCCTTTCACTAACAGATCTCTCTGGTCTGCTGAAGAATATTGCTATGGTGCCTATTTTGTGTTTCAATTTTGCATATGTCGTGGCTATAGGGGAAAGAGAGAAAGTACTGAAAAGACAGGATGAAGATAGTTGTGATAGGGATTACCTATTATTAGAATGGCCTAGCAGTTAAAGTAGGACGCTAATCTGACATGTGGTTGTCAGACGGTTACGTGGTGTTTGGGGTTTGTTGTACATGTGTATATTTAAATCCAGTTTCAGAACCAGGTCAGCATTGTATAAAAACGCCAAACAACTATTAGCGAATACATAATTTCGACTATCAGCACATCAGAGCTAAACTGAGAGATTTTTAGTCATCTGATCTTTCTGTTACGGTTCAATGTATTATAAGCAAAGGAATCACTTGAAGGGGAGTTGCCGGGTGTGGAACTGGTGACGCGTTGAGGGTAGTCAGTTAAAATAACATCTGAAAAAACAGGTATCGTGGTTTGCTTCAATTTGTTTAATTTTCTACTCCCTACAACTGATTTATTCAAAAACAAAAAGTAGCATACGGTTTAAAACTGCATTTTCCAAAAGCAAACTAAAAGAAATAGAGTAAAAGAAAACGTTTGTTTCATAATCTGATAAACTGCATCGTCTTTGTCAATAAAATATGCAGTGTTTGGGGATAAAATTATGGATTGCTTTTAATACGCATTAGGAGTATATTCCCATCTTACACACGACGTTTCAAATGAAAGTTTAGATATGTTGGTCTTTCGGAAATCGTATTTGTAGTTCTAATACGTGAATGTTTCACGGCTGTTCACCACGCCTACGTACATACGTCACGCTGTTTGGCTCAGTCATTGGCTGTTACAAGTACCACCAGGTTGGAAAACGAAGCTGCGAAACAGGAAGCTAAAAAAAAGGGGGGAGGAAAAAAAAAACCCTGTCAACTGAAGCTCACGTAGGTACTGTCGCGCCTCACATTTTGTCGTGGGTTTCTCTTCCAGGCTGACGGGACCGTGATATCTGGTCGCTGCTGCAAAGGCAACATGGGATGCTTCTTCTCGAAGAAATCCAAAAGAAAGTCGGCGGAGAAGGAGAATCTCACGCCGACAACGACGAGTGCTGATACTGTAGGTAACTCGGTTCCCCTTGGCAACAACACCGACGAGGCTCCGAAGCAGTACAGCTGGGACAAGAGGGAAAAGGTGAGGCGACTGGACGGTACAAATCCAAGTAGAATAGCATCTTGGTAGCACTGAACAAACGCATTGTAAAAGTAGGTAGGTATATATAAATCATCTTGACGTTCCGCTGTTGCTTGTCTGGTGTGTTGCGTCAACTTCCAGGTAGTTATTGTTTGTTAATGGTGCAGCTAGCTACCCATTTACTATAGACGGGGGGGAAAAGTTTGACTTTTGGGTTGATGTAAAAATTTTGAAGAGCACAAATGATTAACAAATGCACTGCAAACTGTTACTTTGAACTAAAATTATTGTGACAAAAATAGCATAAAACAAATGAACATCCAGGTCGTCCGATTAAAAACGCCAGGAAATACACACCGATTTTCTAAATTTGTCACTATTTTTTTTTAATGTTCAAGATGTCGCCCACCTCTCTAAATGCTCCCATGTCGCCAGCCTTATCTCATTATGGGATTACAGTACTACACAACAGAACTCAGCCTTATGTTGCCGGCTTGGCAGTAGATGAACTTCCCTTTAGACTCGCTGCTTGTTGAACGTGTAATAAAAGGGTCACACCACCGACTGCATTATGATTTAGGCCTAAAAGAGCACACTGAGACACCTTTCAAGTAATTAGGTGGAACCACGTGAACAGGATACTGAAATACTTTTTATTTTTTGTTGCAAAGAATAAAATGTACTCCAAATGTAACTGTGATTATAATCAAAGTTGTGATGCGGGTTACTTAAAGGGGCAACATTATTCATTTTTTTGGCATGTGATGCCATTTTATAGCACAATCAAATAACTGTTGGCTCCAGCTGTTATAAAAATAGATTTTATATATTAAAAATGGCTTAAGAATTTTGACTCCTCCATTAACTCTTTTATAATGTTACAATGTTTTTACCAGTGTTGCACTGAGAAGTAGCTCATATAATGAGCTCAGCAGAAGTGCAGTTCCACCAGGGTTTGCTAATTACTGCTGGCTAGTCAATAGGAGCTGAGTGGGGTATTGTAGGGTTGGTCAATGTTCCAGTGAACCAAGGAACACTCTAAACACGTGGGATTTATGGTGCATAGAAGCTGAATGCTGCTTCTCCACGTTTGGTGTGTATTTAAATGTTTTATTCCAAAGATATGTGTTTCTGCACAGGCTGACCCCAAGGATTACACTCTGACTGGACTCAAAGACATCACCGTGGGCCGGCTGCCTGGGACGCTGAACGGCAAGCCGTTTGTCATCCAAGACTGCGTGAACTGCAACATCTTCGTCTTGGACCACTCGGCGACCATCAGCATCGACGACTGCGTCAACTGCCGCATCGTCTTCGGGCCCGTGAAGGGCAGCGTGTTCTTCAGGGACTGCAAAGACATCAAGTGCGTGGTGGCCTGCCAGCAGTTTCGCGCGAGGGACTGTAAAAAGATGGACGTGTTCCTGTGCTGCGCCACCCAGCCCATCATCGAGTCCTCCACGGGAATGAAGTTCGGCTGCTTCCAGTACTACTACCCGGAGCTGGCCTTCCACTTCAAGGACGCCGGGCTGAGCATATTCAACAACAACTGGAGCAACATCCACGACTTCACGCCCGTGTCGGGGGAGAACAACTGGAGCCTGCTGCCGGAAGACGCAAAAGTGGCGGACTTCGTGCCAGCGCCCGACCCGGAGTCCGATTTCAAGTCCGTCCGGATCTCCACCGAGGCCGACCGGAGCATTGTGCCTTTAACAAAGGGAGGCAGGCGGAAAGACAGCGAGGAGTCCTGCCTCTTCGTTTTCTTTGCCGGGGACTACACCACTGCGAATGCCCGCAAACTGATCGATGAGGTGAGTGTTGGTGGGAGAAGAGGCGCTTTTTGTTCGAACCCTGTGGTTTTGGAAGGTGTGTAGAAAGAGGAAGTCTTTGTGGGTAATGGGTGAAAGGGTGGTGCTAATGTCAGAGCTTACGTCAGATGCTTCTTTTTTTAATGAATTAGTCATTGTTCCTATTGCTAACACAGCCTAGAAAAGCACAAAACAGAAGGACCTGCATGTTTAAATGGTCCTGATTGAGACATCCACAAATGCTTGACTCTGTCTATTATTCTGACAATTAATATGATAAAACAGATTGGCAAATTCTGCAGCTTTTTCATTTAACTGCTTGAGCCTTTACTACACAATGTTAAAAATACATTAAAAGATAAAAAAAAGTAAAAATGTTATTGCCTAAAATGCCTAGTGTGTGTTTGATCATTTGTAGCCAAGGATGTATAATAATCTGTTTATTTTTTGGATTAGTAAATGGATAGAGAAAATGTCCTTAAAAGGAGTTTTTATTTTTTACAGACTTTGAACCAGGTGAGAAATTTTGGATAAACATATTTCCAGACAAAGAAGGTTTTTCATTTTAAGTACAAAATGTTTGTGTTTTTGTACAGTTTTGGCTTAATTCCTGCTCTGACTGTGTTGTTTTTTCAGAAAGCTGTCTTTTTTTGAGTCTGTATGTTCGATTAATTGATTACTAAATTAGTTGTCGATTATTTCCATATTCGATTAATCATAATGAATTCGATTAGTCGAATTAATTGTGAAAAAAACTGTGGAGTAATGTTTGGATATTAGTTGAGAATGTATCCAGATTGAGATTTTCAATCCACAGGTTATTGCACCTTTTTGTTTTGTAGCTTTCTTTGGTTTACATTTCTGTCTCCATGGGAGTTTTTGTTTCTTGTTTTTTTTTTTTTTTTTTTTTTTTAAAAGCCACCCCCCCAGCATCGGGGGCTTGTTCTTTGTGTAAAAATTCCACAGAGG